AATTTCAAAATTTATTTCACATTATTTTGAAATATTTTGCATTTCACAAAAATTTCAAAATTTCTTTCACATTATTTCGAAATTTTTGCACTATGCAAAATCTTTCAAAATATTTCATATCTATAATTTTGCTAATGTAGTAGTAACCTAGATGGTAATAATGACAAGTCCTCATATATCATTTTACAATGTACAAAAAATGATAACTGGTGCAATAATTGGGATGTAACTTCTGATTTATGTAAAAAAAAGTCAAAAACTAAATGATATAACTGTCCTGTATATATTAGAGCTACAGTAGCTAAAAATAGTTATCTAATATATGGATCATCACAAATATTGAATATACTCATAACTATCTACTACTTCTATTAAATGAAGTAGTAAGCCTCTCCCAATATCGATGCTTAAATATTGACTAAAAAAAACTTTTGCATAATCTGATTAACATTAATGTACTTACATGTATTATTACTACTGTTATCAATAAAGTTGATAACAATGATGTTATTATGCCTAAAAATGTAATGAACAAACAAGTATATATTAAATAAGTGCTCAATGAAAGTTTTAATGCTAACTATACTCAGAAGCTTTTGTGTCTTTTTTAACAATAAGATTATATGATAGAGTTACTTAAAACACAAGATGGTCATTTAATACATTTGTTTTTTTCTCATATTGAAGCAGCAAAGCATACTGTAAAATGTTATAAAGTTTTAATTGTAGATGCCACTTACAAAACAAATGTATATAAATTTTTCTTTGTGAACACAGTAGATATTAGTAATATTGCAAATAAAAAAGATTTTTTAAAAATATTTCAGATTGTGATGGCATGAATGTAAAATGAAAATGAAGATTCTTATAAGTAATTTTTGACAATGCTTTACAAAAAAGTATATAGTACTTATAATAGTTTCTCATATGTATTTATGTCTGATAGGGATCAAGACTTAGAAATGCCTTCAGAGAAGTTTTCTTAGAAGCAGACAAAATGTTATATATATAGTATTTAATAGATCAAAATCTTAAAACAAATTGCTATAAGTTTTTTGACAGTGATAATGATTATATTGAATTTAAAAAAGAGGTCATGGCTTTATAATTAAAATTTGATAAAAAAGATATAATAACAGCAATGAAATCTATTAAATATGCTGTAAAAAAAGTACATGATTTCAAAAAACCTTTGGCATATATTGATACTTTAATGAAAAACTCTAAATTATGGATTCATTCATTTACAAAAATTTCTGATATATGGGTATTTCAACAACTGCATATGCTAAATTATTGTAGAATGCTTTTAAATAAGGTATAGAAACAGCCAGAAGATTAAAATCAGTTTTTGAAAATATTGATTAAAGAATGCAAATGCAAAATCTCAAAACAGCTATATATACTGGTATCAACAAAGTAACTTGTGTTCTATTCACTCTGTGTAATTCTTACTTTAGTATAATTATTGGTAATATATTAATATATTCTATTGATAGAATAAAAAATCTTTTAGTCAAAATTTAAGAAAATCTAACAAAATATAATAAAGCAACAACTTGTCAATGTCTAATAAGAATTAATTATAAACTTTCATGTTATTACACAGTTTCTAAAGAAGAACTAATTTCTCTTAATATTATTAATAAGCACTGGTACCTTTATAGGCCTAATATAAAAGATCTTCTAAGTCCTTCTTTAAAGTTATTAAATACTGATCTAGTATTTTATAAAGTCTTTTTTAAAACTGAAGATACATTCTGTTAACTTTTGGATGATGTTTTTATAAAAACAAAATTTATAGCCTATATTAGTTAAGCAGTTACAATGCCACTTTCTAAATCTTTAAAGGTACCTAAAATTGAAGGTTTAAAAGATCACTATTCATATACAAAGTGTAAAAAATTTTTGAGTAAAAGACAAAATATAGAAACAAAAAATAGGTTCTGCAACTAAAGATAAATCACACTAATGTTTTGCAATTTCTTGTTATCTTTTATAAAGATATTGTTATATATGAAAATAGTATACCAATGTTTATGAAAGAGTTTATATTAAACTATATAAATGTTCATAATAATAGAAACTATGGTTTTTGTACTATTGCTATATTGCTTGAAATGTCTGAAAATGAATGATCAACTATATGACAAACTATTTTTGATAAACTAATTAATCGAAAAACCTATTATATTCAACTATTTATTGAAAATAAAAATGAATATAATACAATTGTTTCAATTGTATAATAAAAAAAAGGTTCATATAGTTTTGAAAACTGGATATTGTTAACCTGTAGTTTTTCCTTTAACCACAATGATATCAGAAGCTGCTTAACTATAGTATGATGACTATAACTTGACAGATTCTACATAAAAGTCTACACAAGACTTAACACAATACAGAGTGATTTGGGATTTTAAGGCAGAGGCAACAATAGATAGTATAT